GTGATGGGCCACATCACATCAACTCATGTTTAGTCAAAGCTGTCTACTGTACCGCCGTAACTGTCTGGCCTAAGATCGGGCCACAGCTATGAGAGCTTCAGCTTACTTCAGTAGAGTGCTGCAGACTGATCGACACTGGCTGCAGGGGGCACTCCTGCATGTCTAAACTCATTGATAAAGGCCTTACACACCCACTCGGTCGACTTGTCTTGCCCCCCTCACACGAGGCGATCTCGGTCATTCTCTACCCTGGTTCCTACGCGGTGGAACAAACTACAAGCTGCCACAAGAGCAGGGTCCTCCCCTCTCTTCTTTAAGGAAGCACTTCTCTTCAAAGAACATCTCTTATCCAAAAAAAAACCCCAATAACATCTAACACGCACCTCTTCTTACTCTATGACAGTACTTCTCAAATATCGGGGCGGGCCCCCCGGGGTGACATGTTGAGGTGTCGGAGGGCATTAGGGGCTTCCAATGGAATATAGCACACATGGACATAAACGTATCACTGCTGTAATGCTGTAATGATAACAAGCCTCCAGCCACTAGGTGGCAGCAACTCATACAGTGGTTTATACAGATAAAAATATACATGTTATCAGGTTCTCAATGGGATTTCAATTTGCGGCGGTGGGAGTTGGGGAGGGGGTCTGAAAACATTTTGTCCACCAGAGGGAGCATCTCTACGACTATAACTGTACTTTTACTATTTATTATTATTTTTGTATGTCTATTGCAGCTTGACTGTTGATCGACTGACTCAAATTGTAAGTTGCAATGGATAAAAGTGTCTGCTAAATGTATTGTAATTATAATAATAATAATAATAAAGTAAGTAAGTCACAACCTCGACACCAGATGTAGGCCACCAATGATCAATGTATGTAGCGTTCAAATTCAATTGGATGGTATGTGTTGTAACAATGGGCAGGACCAGGCTTCCTATAAGAGTTGTCTGCCACTGCCAACAAACAGCAGCCACCTGTAGGTTTTTCCAGCCCTACAGGTTTATAGCACATTTACAATGGAGCTGGAAGAGAAAAGGCCTTGAATCCTAGAAGTGATGTAGCCCATTGGTGGTACAGACCACTAACAGTGCTACGACTACAGTTAACCCTTTGATGCATGACCCAAGATATAGTTAAAAAAAATGTTACTAAGTGTTTTGATGTGTTTTTAGACATACAAATAAGAACTGATTTGGTTCTGTTTTTATACACCAAATTTTCTCTTTTTGAATGTTGACACAACTATTCTGCAGTTGCAAAGGCTGACCACTGTATGGCAGTGTTGGGTGATTCTCAGGCGTCCACTGTAGAGGCTTATATGAAAACACTGCACATCAAAACCTATTCTTATCACAGAAAATGACCATTTTCATAGCCGTCCACTGTAGTGACCGTCATGCACGAAAGGGTTAATAAAACACAGTCTAACCATGGACTTGAAAGGTTTTCCACAAAGTCAACAAATGCGAGCCTTCAGTTTTGAGTTCTTTGGTTGGACACCATATCCAGGATTGGATGGACCCTGTTCAGTCACAGCACGTCCCTCCCAGTTCCTGGTCCCTGACTTTGTAAACCTCTGCTCTCGCGGCTGTGTAGGTCTACAGAGTTCTAATTAGCTGCATTCACAAACAGCACCAGGCTCATCAAAATGCCGAGGCCTGCAGAAAGTCACAGCAGGGGTGAGAGAGCGAGAGTGCGCGTGTGTGCGCGCGCGTTTGTGTGTGTGTATACGTGTCATCTTGACTAGGAGTGTGTCTCAACGTGAGTGTTTGTGCATTTAAAAGGCGGAGAAAAAAAAAAGAAAAACATCTAAAATGCAGATTGGGAGCAGAGCGACAAACTCTACAAGAGCTACAACGGGGTTTTTTTTTTTTTTTCCTACACAATCACAACATTTGTCGTCTTTTCTCTCTCACATTTGCATGCACAATGGCGCCAAAACCACCGTGCACAAAACAACATCGTCAACAACCAGCATCTCACAACGGTGCAGTAAACAAAGACCACGTCTCTGCACCTCTGTTTTCCTGCCAAATAACAAAATGGCTCCGCAAGAAAAAAAAAAAAAGAAAAGACAACGATATTTTTTTTTTTTCCCCACTGCGTTTCATCCTAACTGATCCGACGGATGATGTCACAGACCACAGAGCATCAACATATGGTTAGTGGCTGGTTGTGTATGGAGCTGCACACATGTCACCACCAACATGTCTTAGGTGAAGGTTTCAACTCCTCATATTCCTGGAACCGCTGTAGGGTTTTGGAATCTAAATTGCACTACTGATTTACTTTTACAGAATTACTTTTCATATTGGGGACAATGTGAAAAACACAGCTTGTAGCACCTGTCTTTGTTCAAATGACACATGTGACTAAATGCAACACAGTCATCGTCGTAAATCCCTTAAAATAAAAATAGAAACAAGGTCATTATTTAATTTACGAAAAACAATTAAGATTCAAATTCTCAACACTTGAACACTGTATATCCAAAGCCTCTACAGACCATCCACTTTGTAGCCCTCACAGACTGCTGTGTAATTTACACACACTGTGGGAAAGATTGTTTTTTTTTTTTATTCCATCTCAAGCTTAAAATACCATCTCAACCCTCCAGCATGTAAAATTGTCGAGGAGAATCAAGAGGCAAATGACTGACCAAAAATCCACCAACTCAATGAGGCTAAATTTCGAGGTTTAACTTTTTCTCATATTTTTCCCCGAGATTTCCTCCATATTTGTTAATATTCCTGTATTGACCAAAACGTATTCCAACCAACATGGTTGTCAAACTGGATAATATATCCATAACCAAAATCCATATGCATATTTAAAAATAAAATAAAATATAATTTAAAAAAATAATAATAATAATCTCCATAGTTTACACAATCAGCTGAACAGAAAGTGAGCACAAATAAATATCAAAAATAGGATTACAGAAAGTGAGCAGAGCTTTAACACCAAAAGGACATTTAAACGGGAAAACATCTGTTTGTCACTAAACAACGTGTTACTAAAGCTGTGGAGACGTTGACTGGTTTCAATGGAACAAATTAACACAATGTTGAATTAAAACAAGCCTGAAGAAATCAGTGCAAACTCCTCATCTGTCCACTGTGTGGTTTGGGTGACGAGACTCATTAGTGAATTCAGAGCTGAGTAACTGTATCTGTAGGTGTTTTATCACAGTACGAGTTCATATTGTACACCAGCTCTGTCTGTCTCATGTCTTTGTCCGCGGTGTTAAAGTGTCGCCAAACAGATGATATTGTTGACCTATATACATGGAATTCCATGAGGACCAGTTATAGCTACTCAACTGGAAGGAACACACACAGCTGGTTGTAGAGGAATCGGGTTCCTGGATTGCCACATGTTTTTTTTTTGAGTAGGAGTATTAAAATGAAGCATCAGGCCTGTACATGTCCATTCCAGTATAGATATCGGTGCGTCCCCCGGTCTACTTTAACACGACGAAAGACAAACAAGCAAGTGTAGAGAGGGCCTTCTGGGACCTCAAAGACTCCCACTGGAGAAACGACGGCATCACTGATGACCGCCGATCAAACACCAATCAACAGATTCATAGTCGTTATTCCACTAGTTTACTACAGCAAAAAAAAAAAAAAAAAAAAAAAACCGCAGACAGGAAGAATGAGCTCACGAATCAAAGAGCACATCAAAATCCTGGCTTTGCATAACATTTAACTTGGCCTGTTAGACCCAAACAACAATGACCTCAACAACACACACACACACACACAAACGCGCGCACGTACACACACACACACCAAGCAGGAAAGAAAGCAGAAAAACAGGAAGTCTCCTTCAGGACTGGTCTACAGCAGCAGCAGTTAAAAAAAACACAAGTGTGCACTTTAAAAACTTCAAGAAGATTCACATTTTTTTTTTTGATATCGTGATAAATCACAAAAAAAAAAAAAAAAGTTATATTTAACATTGAAATTGTACTTTCTTTAACCTAAGCATCAGTGCCTGCAGAATAAAGTCTCATTTTTTCATTGAGGTCAAGTCTGCTGAAAGAAAAACATCAGAACCAACGTATCCAACATGATCAGAGCATCAAATTAAAGACGGTCTGGGAGTTGGAGAAGACAGATCCAGAAACAACGTACGCAAAATGATCAGAGCATCTCATTAAAGACGGTCTGGGAGTTGGAGAAGGGGTGTGAAACGTGAAGTACTTGTAGTATGAATACACATGAGGCACTAACGCACTGAGTAAACACTTCCTTTGGACTGCATGCCCCCTGCACACAGCCACATCCTGGACTCGGCCTAAGACATCGACGAGGTTGCCACCGGGGACACGGGGTAAACAGACTCAAACCAACTTCACAACAGTTTCACCTGATGCAATCTAGTAAAGCCTTTGCTATAAAGTGCACTCAAGTCGCTGCTTTAGGTCGTTTTCAAACTGCAAACAGGAGTTTTGTAAAGTCCCTGAAGTGAAGCCCGTAGAGAAAATGAACATTTTTGGCTCACAGCAGTCGCTGCTTTAGGTCAGACGGCGGTTTGGTCCGTTTGAGTCACTCAAAGCAAATAAGAAGGAAATAAGATCATATACAGAAGTTGCTGATTTTCTTCTGGAGTTTGGCATGGAAAAGTGAGTGGTTTCAACGGTAACCAAAGTTAAAGTTAATGCTGATGTAGATGTAAGAGCTGCATCAACTTCACTGTGTTCACCCCACGGCCATGATGTTGCAGAAAATAACACACGCGCATAAATAAATGTCATCAAATTAACAGAGCCACGAAAAGGGAAGAAGGGAAAAAAAAAAAAAAAAAACAGCACGAACTGGAGAAACTGCATCCGTGTGTTTGTCCACAACAAGAAAAAAATCACAAAAACTGCAAGCCAAACAGCAGGTGTAAGAGGAAGATGAAGAGGAGGAGGAGGCTGGAGAGAGAGAGAGAGAGAGAGAGAGAGAGAGAGAGAGAGAGAGAGAAGGAGGAAGGGTGACGTACTTGAGCCGGAGAAATGTCCGCTCCCCAGGGAGGTGGGTCCGTTTTTTCCACTGCTAACAGGAGGAGAAAACATCTAGAAGACAAACAGAGCAGAGATTAACTCTGAGAACCAGGAGGCTTCAGACACACTCACAAGAACACAAGAAACAGCATCATCGCTATAGCAGCTAGAAATGAAGAGCTTCTCCCCCAAAAAAAAAAAAAAAAAAAACGTCAGCGCCAACATTTCACTCAGGAAATCCTGTCAGGAAACGTTTTATTTCGCTGCCTTTTCATTAATAAAGATCAAGTTGAGAAGGAGATGGTTGGGTTCTTTAAACAGATTTTTATTTCCTGTTTCACTTATTATAAAGAAGAATTAATTTTTTTTAAAAGTCAAATTTAGATTTATATATATAAAGAAATTACAAAATTGCATTAAAATTGTATTTATGATCCAGGTTTTTTACCCAGAATCTTGAAGAACATAACAACTTATTAGTGGTTATTAGAGGTTCTTACAAAGTCTGAAGACGTAACGCATTAATTAGAAGTCATTACAAATAAATGAATAATGTGACACAATTCTCAATTATGTTCTTTTGAAGCATACACTCCAGTAATGCAGCTTGAGTTCATTTGCAAAACTTGTTCACCAAACTTCATTGAGGGAACAAAGGATCTTTGGATTGACAGCCAAGTATTGAGGCTTAGGGAAAATATAAACCCAAGTATGAAAATGTCCAAAGATACAAAACATAGCATTTGAACTTGAGATTGATGCAAGAGAGCAATTGTATAAAACCAAATCTGGATTGAATATTTAACCGTGACTTCAAGCATATTCATCAATTTCTGAAGATATCAATCGTTTCAACTTTGTCAGCGTAGCCGTTTGCTCACCCACGGTTTAGCCTCAATTCTCTATTTACAGCCGCGTTTCCACTGAGAGTAAAGCTTCCAGTCGCAGACTAGCTCATGCGAACACACCTAAAATTAAACAAATTTAAATTTGTAGCTTGCGGTTTTTATCTTTTCACACCTATGGGTGTCACCTTCCTGTCTGCGTTGGACAGATTTTTTGGTGTGTACGCCGACTGATTAGAGGTTTGATGCCAAATCCCAACGATCTGACAACCTCTCGGCTTCAGAGCTGATATGATAAGAGTTCATTTTCCAAAACATGGTTGGCATAAAGACACCAAAATTGCGTGTGGGAGAAAATAAACAGGATCCAATCACTGGTTTCACCTGCTCAGGCGTGTTTTTTTTTTTTTTTTTTTTTTTTTTTTTTTAATCCTGCTCAAGTGTCACCTTTGCCAAATGTTGGACGTCTCACCTTTTTGGTGGGGGAGAGAAACACTTCATGTCTACTTCATTTCTGACATGAACATAGGAGATAATCATTTTTATCTAGTTGCCATCTGTGCTACACATCTACAGGTAAACAGATATTATAAAAAATAAAATACAAAATCAAGCCCATACAGAGAAAGAGAGTGAAACTGAGGAGCCCTGCTGTAAGACGTCTGACCCTGAAAGAATCTGCTCAAACCTATATATACATATAAATATATATATATAATTGTGATTACTGTTAGCAATACTTTTTACTTTTAGCCCCTTGTTCCAAGTAACCCCTTCAAATCCCTTCAAGAAAGTGATACATCATGTCTTTGTTAGCATGTGACACAACTTTGTTAGCTGAAGCCTTGTGGTGCTACAGGGATCTCATTTGTGTTTGTCTTCAATACATTCAGAAAAACAGAAATGCTAATATTATGTCAATAGTGTTTTTTTTTAAGTTTGAAAATACCAAATGTTGTATGTCCAATAAAAAAAAACCCCAAAACTGTTGATAAGGCATGTGTTGGTTAGCCTAGTGATGTAGCATGCTAACCAATGTTAGCTCAAGACTTACTGCAGGTTGTTTGGATCCTGTTAGCAAACAAGCAACTTTAGCTTTGTCACATGTGATTCTATTATTTATATAAAACTACTAACTATTACAACACCATATTAGACACTTTTCTAATATTTACTTTTTGGACCTTTTACTAAAAAAAGTATAAAGAAAAGCTACAATAGCAAATTAAATAATATATTTTTTTTATAAATAAAAGCATTGTACTGACTTTATTTCAAACATTTTGAATGTTGGCTTTAAGCTGACAGGCTATACCGGTACAAAAGGTGGCTTTATTTCAAACATTTGGAATGTTGGCTTTAAGCTGACAGGCTATGCTACAGTATGCTAACCACAACAACAAGTTTATCACCCGGACTACTTTCTATAAACATTTTCACCAGTTTGGGAAACATTTCTTTTTTCTTTTTTTTTTTTTACCTTGTTGGAGATGGGCACCGAATCATCCTACATGAGCAACAAAGACAAAGTACATAATTATTATTGATAGACAAAAGGCTCAATGTTGCTTATGAACATATCTGCTAACATTAAGATTCCTCATGATGTATCACATTCCTGGAGGTCTGACCCATTTGTGCTACACAGATTTAACCAATAGCTCTGCCTCAGTTTAAGGTAGTATCCTGAGCAAAAACACTGAATTACACTCTGAAAGTTGGGTCACAGAAGGAGTAAAACACGTAGGCCTGATTTGTATCCATTTTTGAAGGGGGGAATAAATATAAAAAAAAAAAGAAATCCTCAACATACAAAGTGTTCCTGTCAGACCTGAGGTTTTAACGACCAACAGGAATTCAGAAGGCGATTCTGATTATAAAGAGCTTCACAGACATTTAAATGGATCCTGAGTGGAAGAGTGGTTGCTTTTGTGCGTTTGTTAAGAAAAAAAAAAAAAAACAACAGATGATTGCATAAATTAATGCTGCGGCCTGCATTTTTAACGAGAGGAGCCACTGATTTAACTCCTGCTCTGGCTGATGCTCTCCTTTGTTAGGATTTATTTCTGTTTATTTCTAAATAGTCCAAAAAAATATATATAGTTTTATTTTTCTATGTTTTTTTTTAAATAATCAGAATGATTTCTAACATATAATATAGTAATTTTATTGTGTTTATTTGTACTTCAACGTCCTTTCTTAACACAGGACCATAAAGAATTTTTTTTTTATTATTTTTAATACTTTCAACAAATTAGGTTTATTTTAGGTCTGAATGTAATAAAACCTGACTAATAACGCTATAGTATTTTTCCTATGTTTTCCCCATAAACGTCACAATAAACCTGCAGCAGTTACTTTTGTCCTTTAGGCGTTAGTGGTAATTTATTATTCGTCCATTTTACAGTCTTTTTTAAAAACATTTTAATAACTGGCGGTTACTGTGGTCCGCAGTTCTGCGTGTCTTTGATCTTTACATTTACATTGGGATAATTGTATCCAAAGTATACGACCGATCAGGACTTTACAAACAAGGACATTATTCAGATGAAACAGTTTGAAGATATGCCTGCAACTCAGTCCAAAAAAAAAAGATATAATATAAACAGTCAAACTAAAAATGAGGAACTTTCTGGAAGGTTCCTCATTTAGCTGCTGGTCTGCTAACAGGTGCGACTGTGAAGACTAATTAACCTGGGTATAAAACGAACAGCCAAAGTTTGGGGGTAATGCTAAATGCTTTTATCATTTTCTACGCCATCTATTGGGGAAACGTGGGTATTGCAGGAAAAAAAAAAGGTAGAATATAATGATAATATAAATAAATTCTATAATTTGGAAAAGTTTGGCGGGCCGGATTAAAAAGCTGAGTGGGCTGCATCCGGCCCCCGGGCCTTAGTTTGCCCGTCTGTGCTAGGCTTTCAGTATTGCCGTATACAGCAGAATGTGATTAGTCACAGTCACATGGTTGTTGTACGACATTAGAAAACTACTGCTAAACACAGTCTGCACATACAGTATGTGAAGGTTAACGTTGAGTTGGGAATTTCACAGGTGTGTGATCCCGCCAGAACCGGTTCTCGTGACAGGAAGTTCGTCGATTTATCAACAGAACAACGTCAGGAACCTCATTCTGAAACAATCAGTGAACAGAGCTTGGAAGATTGCATTCCAGCACAGTATGTACACTGAGAAAATCAAGTGAGTGTGAACTACCGGCCTGCCTGCAGTCCAGATCTGTCTCTTACCGAAAGTGTGGCCAGATGGTAAAAGGGCTGAGGATTATTATGAAAAGCAATAATAAATAACCAAAAATAAATAAATCAATTCAAAACTACAAAGCATTTCCTCATTTTAGTTAAAAAACAAAAACAAAAGGTCATTAGAAAAGTAAAAAAAAGGGGAAGTGCTCTGCTCACAGATTTGCCCCCTGCCCCAACTATTTTGAACCGAGTTGCAGGAATCACTTTCTACATGTGTTTAGGTTTAACTGATCACCCGTCTGTAATAAAGAGACAAATCAAGGTTGAAGTGCTTTAAGGTGTTTTACTGCACTGTTTTCGAGTGCGTACCGACTCTTCTCAGAGCGGAGCCTGTGACGTTTTCCCCTGCAATGACGAGTCTGTCTTTTCATTTGCAGTATTTATTAATGTGTGTGCAGCTAAATTGAAAATTAGCTGTGATTTTATTGGACTTTTGTGGCCCTGAACTGCCATCCTGCTATTTTTATGACGGCAATATTTCTGCAGAGACACGTGATCTCGCTGTACGAGACAACAGCCGGACAAAGCTGGAGGAGTATTTCATATATCTATAAGTATTTGATATATCTGTTTATTTCATAATTCAATATATTTTTAGTCAATATAATTTTATTTTTAACAGCCATTTTGTATAATTGTGACGATGCAAACTAATATTGTGATATATAAAAACGATTATTTTGTTAGATAATAAATCAAAAATCAACTAAATGTACCATTTTTTTCCACATAGCCAGGATATGATCTAAAGATTCTTTCATTGTTCAGGTTTTATCAGTGTCTTTTTTTTAAAATCTATTTTTAATTAATATTTTTCTATTATTAATATTTCACTCAATTATCATATCCTTAGCCATAATATATAATTTTGTTCATGGAAATCCATGCAAAAATCGTCAGAAAATGTTTAAAAAAAACATTTGTGACAACTTCCATAGATGCACTGACAATCTATATATTTTTTTGTTTTTCAGTCAGAAAATGATCAATTAATCAGCATTTTGTCAAGCAACAGCAAGACTGCCAGATATATTGTTGAATGTCTTCATCTGTGAAGATGAAATTCAAAATTGTTCTTCATTCAAAGCAAATAATCCATTATCAAAACAACTCATTTTGCAAATCACAAGAAATCGATTTATCAGTGAAGCTCTTTTGTGTGTGCGTTCGACATTAACGTAAGAAATTATGCATTACTTCCCCTTTTTTTTTTTTTTAATTTTACTCATTTCCCATCTATCTGCACCTCCTCCCATCTCTTCCTCTTTAGGCCCAAGTTGCTCCCACAGGAGGACAGGACAACAGAAAACATGGCCGAGAGCAGAAAAGGGGGGAAACACGATTTCCTGCCCAATCAAGTTGCAAATACCGAATCCCCGTTTGAAAAGGGCTCTAATTTGATACTAAATTTAAAAAACCCGGCATTTAACAGGGTGACCCAAAAAACGCTTTTGGTGTGGCGGGAGAATGTGGGACACTTGTCTTTTCGGCTGCTTCGCTGCCTGTCTAGCATTCTGTCTGACAGCTGTCTGTCTCTCTGTCTCTGTCTCTGTGTGTCTGCCTGTCATGCAGGTTGAAACCGCTGTGTCACACGGTGCAGAGACCCGGGCAGAGAGAGGGGAGGGGGGGGGGTGTTTTTAAGAGTGTACAAAAACAAATTCATCTCCTTCATCTTAATCATCATCATCATCATCATCATGTACAAAGTATAGAGCAACAACAGGGCTAAAAGAAAGAAAGAAGAAAAAAAAAGAAGGAGAAAAAGAAAGAAAAAAGAAAGAAAAAAAAGAAGGAAGGATGGAAGGAAGGAAGGAAGGAAGGAAAGAAGA